AGAGCTATTGTGTCGTGCGGGTCGCGTTTCGATTGATGAACTCTCGATTGCACAGTTATCCGCCAAATTAATATTAGCAAACTGATTTACGCGCGAACTAAAACGTCACAGTGTTTTGAAAACGTTTCAACGCATATTACAAGAATATGCAATTAAAAAGTAGAGTTCTCATTTAAAAATGCAAACGTCACTTTTGCAGAACTTCTCGAGATTGCTATACATGTAAAACATAAAAAATTGCAATATAGATAAAGTAAATATCTTTGAAGTAAATTTGAATATAAATATGTTTGAAATATTTTTCCGCATCGCTCATACTTTTCCAGATATTTACACGTTTCTAGATGAAACGGACACAGTACACAATATCAATTACAGTTTTTACTCTTAACTGCTTAAAAATTCTAATTCGATTAAGTTTTCTTATAATGTATCTCTCTCTCTCTCTCTCTCTCTCTCTCTCTCTCTCTCTCTCTCTCAAGCATCGAGAAGAAACGCAACCTCACCGATCCCAATAGAAACGTACACCGAAAAAGTCCCCCTATATTGTTTCCCACTTACGGTCGCCGTTAATAACGTGTTTTAGCATGATTTAAGAGCGCCCGTAGCAGCTAAGCACAAGGTTTTAATAACGACGTTGCTTCAGCTTTTAACGAGGTCACGCAGAAGTGGCCATTAGTTGAATCCTCCCTTTGGAACAATATCGGATGTTACGAAATTTTCGCGCAATCTTCTCAAAACAAAGTCGCCAAAACTATCTTTCTTACTCGCTTAAACTTCAGACGTTAAATGATCGAGCCCGTTAAATCTTCCAGCAACAATAATTTACCTCGAGAACGAAGAAGAAGAAGAAGAGTAGGAGGACGCAACAAATACAGTTGAACTTTCGAAGAGACAGAGAGAGGAGTCCAAGTTTTCGCATTAAGTCCAAATGAAAGCTCCATCACGGTTTACCATACTGTTGGTGGAAGTTCAATTTGTCACGAGGTTAAAATCTCGTTTCATATCACGCTATCTAGTTCGCCGCGCAAAATACACACAGAGAGAGAAACTGTGTCGCGATTCTCATCTCACGGCGGCAACCGTTCGCAATCGGTGAATAACGCGTCTTATCTGCTGGCTCGACAAAGGGTCTCTCCCTCGGTAATCAGGGAACGATGAAATCGTCGTTAAATATTTCCAACCGTCCTGTTCGCTCAGGGGTACGGACGATTTTATTGGTCGCGTTACGAGGCGTCGGGGTGAACAGCGGAGGGTTGGGTGCGTGGTAGATGGGCGCGTGGTGCTAAGGTGAGCAACTCGGGAGAAGTCACTTGTCCACGAACCAGTGCGCTTTTAAGTTCGTACCCCGCGTACCGGGGGCACCGGTATTCCTATCGCTGTTATCCAGTGACACAACTTCACGTTTCAGATGAATACGTGACAGTTTTTTCTTGTTCTTCTTCCAACGTCGATTTTGAATTTTTCGTCGATGATCGATGATCGAGGGATCTACAACAGATGAATAATTCGGTTGATTGACGAATTCTAATGGGGATTATTTTGTTGTAATAGTATAGATGTTACCGTAGAATATCAGATGGAGAGATAGGATTTTGTTTGACGAGGTGATCTATGGAAAGAAGAAAAGAAAAATGTACGTCGTCCCGCAAGTGAGAATCGATGTTTATCGTGTGATTTAGTAGAATAGAATGTACAGTGAAGAGGTGTTTCTTTCACGAATGATGAATGTGTCGGATGAGTATTCGTATTACGGGATCATCGAGGATTTATCGAGATATGTGGAGAGTATACGCGGTCCTAAGTATTATCCTTTGACGCTCCTTATTCCTGTTACACTCGCGTATCTTGTGATCTTTGTAACTGGCTGCGTTGGTAATATCATCACTTGCATCGTCATCTGGAAGAATCCTATTATGCATACTGGGACGAATTGCTACTTGTTTAATCTGGCCTTGTCCGATTTGCTGTTTTTGGTACTGGGTAAGTTCTTCAATGTTGTTTCGTTAGATTTTAGTCTGTCTGTTGTGCGAAGTGGATGGAAATTTTGTAAACGAAACTTTCGAACTCTGTCTTGACGCTGAAAGTTGGAAAAATTTGATAAGGAAACGGTAAATTTGAAAATGAAAGAATTCACGGGTAATTTGTGGCAATGTTGTTTCATTAGTAAAATAAAGGAAAATTTGAAACTTCGTAATGTTAAAATATTAAAAAATTTCTCCACCTTTGACGATAATTTTACGACAAATAAATGAAGAAATTCACGGGTAATTTATGGCAAAGTTGCCTCGTTAGTGAAATAAACGAAAATTAAGCGAAAAACAAATTCGAAATTTCATAACGTTAAAAGACTAAAACAGTTCTCCACCTTTCACGATAATTCTGCGATAAACAAAACGAAGGAATACGTGGGTAATTTGTGCCAAAGTTGTCTCATTAGTGAAATAAACGAAAATTAAGCGAAAAACAAATTCGAAACTTCATAACGGATATAACGCTCGCGAGTTTTCAATTTCTATATTTGCACGGTACACACACACACACGAGAGAGAGAGAGAGAGAGGAATACGTGGGTAATTTGTGCCAAAGTTGTCTCATTAGTGAAATAAACGAAAATTAAGCGAAAAACAAATTCGAAACTTCATAACGGATATAACGCTCGCGAGTTTTCAATTTCTATATTTGCACGGTACACGAGAGAGAGAGAGAGAGAGAGAGAGAGAAACGCGTGTGTGTTATTTGGAACTGGCAAGACTGTAATAATTTCACATGGTATCGATAATGTTCAGTTGTGCACCGTCACGCAGCCGAAATTATGGCTGCGATAAGAAAACGGAAATAACGAAAATATCGCGGTGAAATTTCGATTTACGTTCAAAGCGTTCGTTACCAATTGTTCCCCGATCTACGGGGTTTATGAATATACCGTTTTGTGGACACGGGGACTCCCGATCGATTGATAAATCCGTTTAATTTCGATACTTTATGCAGAGTTATCGGTCGGCGAGCTAATATTTGCAGGGTCGTCACGTATCAAACGTTAATTGTTCGCTAATGGGCTCTCCCTCCGATCTTCCTACGGAGTAACGAAGGGTTTCGCGTTACTCGTTACGATTTCATTTGTATCAGGTGGTGGATCCGTGATTCGGTTGAATGGGATTTGTTTGCATCGTAAGCAGCCTCGCGGTTCATTTCCATCCAGCTGATTCTACTCTTTGTATATCGAGCTTGTTATTTTGTAACATCTTCTTTTTTCTTTTTTCTTTCTTCTCTCTTCTCGTTCTTTACAACCACCTATTAATTTTCGTTCAACCGACGTGGCAATTTAATTCGAATTTTATCGGTAACAGCACTTCTCGACGGGATACGAAAGTAGCTCGATATATAAGATGGAATCTGAAAAAAAAGAAAAGAGAAAAAATGTGAAAGACCGTCAGTTGCGTTTGAAAAATGTATCACGTCGCAATTACCCCACGTTTCCTTCCACCTTCTACGGTTTGCATTATTGAGTCAACCACTCAGGCATACATTTTCTGGTCTTCGTCCGTGTTACACAAGTCGCGATTATTTCTGAATAGCTCGATCGGAAAGCGAAAGGAAATTGAACGAATAAATTCCAATAGAAACGATATTTACTTCAATCGACGCGATTGATACTGTTGAAACAGTTTTGTCTTAGCGAGATGTAGCGTCGACGCGGAAGTAAAGACAGAGCAAATGAAGAGAAGAACGGTGACACAGTTTACAGAGACGACGACAGTGTTCTAATTGTTTTTCCAGGTTTACCCTTCGAATTGAGCGTATTTTGGCAACCGTATCCTTGGATATGGGGTTTGGCTATATGCAAAGTAAGAGCGTACTTCTCTGAAACGTGAGTCGACGTAACATAGGATAAACGAATGCGTATTAATACGAGAATTACATTAGGTTGTTCCATAAATTCCTGCGGTGTTTACCAATGTTAATATTTCAGTGTTCTTTTTGCAACTTCTGTTTCGTAGCTTGAAAAAAAAAAATGAGAATCAAAATTCCAGTCATGTTCACAGTTCTACGTTGTTATGAGGGAATTTTGAGAGAGCGAAATGATGGTAGTCCGTCGGGGTGAGGTCCAGTGAGTAGAGTGGATGCTGGAGGAGTTTCTGTAAAAGGTTTTCCAGAGAGATTTTGTCAAATTTTTAGTCAAATATGCGGGAGATCTTCATATTTCTTCACCTGACACTTCATATTTTCCACATTTCCTGACATTCCATTTTCAACCCTTTCGCTGCTATTGACGCCTATAGACACTTTGAAAATATGTTCGCATTGTGCTGTTGAAACGTTTTGGAGCACTTGCAACTTAATTTATTTGGAGCAATTTTAAAAAGGTGCGAGGAGAACGAAAGATTTTGCGACTGTGGTTGAATATCTACCGTCTGCCACGCGCGGTACGCATTATCATTAGCGTAGAACGAAATAATTGACATTAATATAAAAGAAGAAAAGAGAATCCATCGAATGACGCATATCGCAATTTCATTCAATACGAAATGAAAACTGCAGGAACTCATGGATCAATCTAATAGTAGAGGAGAAGGTCTAAATATGGGCTACCATTTTTATTTCAGGATTTATTGTCAAACCTGTGGATGAGTTTTAAGATACAACACTGTAATATATGTATGTACATTTAGACCTACAAAACTGAAATTAAAAAGAAGCTTACAATGTCAGCAATGTAATACTCTTAGTCAATTAACTCTTAGTTTAATAGATTATCGCTGAAACAATAAAACGAACTTACCTAAAAAATCTTTTGAAATAGCGAAATAAAAGAAATGACACGTTTTGCAACAGAACACGTAAACAAAATAAACGCAGGTCACTATCTCCTCCGCAACACTTATTTTCTTCATAACTCGTAGTTTCGTCCTACTTTCAACAGAATTAAGCACTAAAAAAATTCAATACTTCAACTAGCCCATATTTAGACCTTCTCCTCTACAGATAGTAGAAAAATAATTGTAACTTCGTACGAATCACATCAATCAATTTCCCTTTTTTTAAAGGTCCTCTTACGTATCGGTACTAACTATACTGGCGTTCTCGATAGAAAGATATATGGCGATCTATCATCCGCTTCGTCACTACGGGAGTGGTCTGAAGCGTTCTATATGGTTCATATGTGTTTCATGGCTGATTGCTTTCATGTTTGCTGTGCCCTTTGCCGTGTACATCAATATCAATTATGTTGTAGATCCAAAAAGTGAGTGTCCTGTGAAAAACTTTTGCGCAATCCCTGCATAATTTGATTTTTCAATTTATCCCGGAAGATAATTAAAGAGAATCAACCCTTGTCTGTGACTCTTACGCAATGAAAGTTCACTATGACGGCTCGTAGTGTACCCGTGCAGGGCTGGAAAAGTTACATATCCCATTAAAAGTTAAACAATTAACACCAGGAGTTAAACTGGATTTTACAGCTAATGCGTATCGATCTTTGCATTCGAATTACGCGTCGTATTATATCAATTTTCCCAGTGTACGTATTAAGTTGACACGAATCGTATTAGGCTCAAATGTTGAAACGTTTATCATTGGGTAAATTGAATCGATAATGCGTCGACGTTAGCTTGGAAAATTCGGGATTGAACAAACGTGAAACAGGAAATTACCATTCCTGAACTTATCGTGTTCACTTTGAACGCGTGGAGACACTTAAGTTTTCGCTAGTTTTATAACACGCTAGATCATTACACTACGTTTTGCCTCTTCTCTATTTTTCATTTAACCTTTTAACTAGAGAAGACGAGTTAACTCGTCGTTGATTCGTCGATATTTAGAACACGATAGTTTACTTATCGAAGGAAATTCTGCCCGTGTTAAATATAAAATACGTCGTATTCATATTTGCAATAAGAAAAATGAAATAATTACAATTTACATCGACAATTTGTATCGATTTTTAATTATAAACTAGAGAGATTCAATATCTGTTCGAGAAGCGAACTCTCGGTTAACAGGTTAAACAATTGCTTCTTCTTCCTCGTTAAAACAGTTTGTCTCGCTTTCTCCTTTATTTTCAGACTCGACACGATACTTAGAGGAGTCCGCGATATGCACGATGGAATTCAAAAGCATGCCTGACTTTCCTCTCTGTCAGCTCAGCTGTATTCTCTTCTTCTTCATACCGATGGTGTTTATCGCGGTCCTTTATGTACGTATAGGATTGAGAATACAAAGCGGCAGCCTCTCGCAGAACGTCGAGGGATCTGTACACGGCGAGACCAGGCAGGCTCAGTCACGGAAAACCATCACACGGATGCTGAGTAAATGTTCAACTTTAAAATAAATCTCACTGCGTGTCCTTTGTTCCCAACTAAATTTCACAACGTATTCCTTGCAAATATATTAATCAGCACCGTAATGCTCTAACGAGGGAAGCTTCAACTTATGGTCCTCCGCGATTTCAACGAAAGTTGGCGAGGTGATGAATCCGTATCTGCAATAAAACGTATAGTCAGTGGAAGGAATATAGCGAGGTCGTAATGTAGGGTGAGAGATGAACGTGTTTGGATCGAGTGACAGTTTGTTCGAATGGAGAATGCATGCGAGATGAGACTGAATATATAGGGCGAGATAATACTTTGACCAAAAATCGACACGTGGCGAGAGTGTGTGAATGCGTGTACGAATCTGTGATCGAGAGTGACTGTGTGTAAGGAAATATGAAAGACTAAATTAAGAAACGGTGCGTTAGAAGAGACTGACCTCCTGTTTATCAGTCAAAAAACCTACATATTCTTTTAAATGGTAACCTTATTGCATTCCTACTCTATTCTCCAGCTCATATTATTAATGTTTACGCTTATGTTAACTTCTAATCTGTTTTTACTACTAATACAGGATCGTCCTCTACGTTAGAAATTTTTTGAAGATTTTTATTCTGCTATCACTTATGCAATTAACAAACATTAATATAAATAGAGTTATATTGGTAAATTGGCCTGGAGCAAACAGGCACAATTCTTACTAAGGCAAAAATAAATTAAAAAAAAAAAGAAATGGCGCATTACAAGAGCTAACGTCAAAGACGAAGCGCGATCTTTGTATATTAGAATTGTGAGATTATCGATGGATCCGTGATCGAGATCTCGGAGAGTGTATTTTTTCTAACGAAATATTTATTAAAATTCCTATCAACAGTAGTACATTACTGTGAGTTTTCTCCACGCAAATACACTCTGTTCGATATCTCTTTCTACGCTGTCGTACATTTTGCGTGCTTTCTCCTTCTCTTCTGAAACTACTTCTTTTCCTCGCCGCGGAAAAAGGGCCTGGTTCGCGTCGAATCAATAGACGTGGGCGAAATATTCACAATCCTGCGGAATAAAACAAACTAGTCATATTGGTGAAAAATCCGAGAAGATAAGGCCGTACGAAGTATGCCTTAGCTTTGATTCAATCTTAATCGGAAAATGTAAAATACCGTATGGGTCGTTTCACGCCTAATCGATCACTTTTTGACGTCGACATCAGGGATTTTGTTCTAAGTTAAGTATTTTGGTTAAGTCATCATTTAGCTGGCTTCGAATTTCTTCAAAAAATGCGGACCTTTGAATTTAGCAATTTTTGCCCATTTTTATGAAAAGGGGCTGTGCTTATCAATTTTTATCTCTGAAATTATCGGTCCAATTGAGCTCATCTTTTTTGTTTCAATCTAGAAAGATAACCGTATTGTAATAATATTTTTGTTATTTGAAACATTGATTTTACAATACTGAAAATTAAAAATAAATTTTTAGCTTGTAAAATTTCTCTGAGGTTTTCAAATTTTTTAAAAAGATATGCTCACATTCCTTGAAATTCTACCTACAAAATGAGCCTTTTTACAGGATGAAGTCTTTAAAATTAGCGTCACAAGAAGCTAAATAAGGACTGGAATAGATGTAAAGTTTGGAAAAATTACATAGTTCGATATATTCCGATAGTGGAACGCTACATTCAACTGTAGCTACTTTTCTCACAACTAGCTGATTACTAGCTATTAAATAAACCTGTTACCCCGTCAAATTTCATTGAAATCATTGAGGGCCAAATCTGGTTTTCCTCCTAAGTACGGGAAAGTGAACTGATTTAGCCGACGACAGGCGTTTATCCGTATTATATACGGTGTATTATCAGGGAACGTGTTCAGAAATTGACGAGAAAGCGAACGTTTGGACGTGGATGTGAAAGATCCTTGTCTACGAGAGGCCATCACGCTGCGAGGACAATTTTCCACCATGTCGATAATACGTGACAACCGAATACAATCTTCCTAAAAAAATTGAAATCGTCGATTATTCCATTCGTTATACAATTCGTCCGTCGAAAAATATGAATTCTACACGCGTAGTCGATTATTCAATTCGTTACCAATTCGTCTGTCGCAAACTATAAATTCCGTACGCGTAGTCGAGCCAATGTTTGCTTATGCAAAAGTGGCACATAAAATTCAACACGTTGTTTATTCAATTTAAAGCTATAATTTTAAAAAGAGAAAAAACATAGTCGCATGAAATAGGTTAGGAACGTGGTCGTCACGCGTGACGGATGACAGTATAAAGGTAACGTGAAAAGAAATCGCTGCGATTATGGTTTTACAGGTGCTGTGGTGATCACATTTTTTATCTGTTGGGCGCCGTTTCACGTTCAACGTTTGTTATCGGTGTACGAGGTCCCAATACCCGAAGACATAAACCAAGAATGGCTGTTTGCTCTCACCGGTTGCTTTTACTACTTCAGCACCACCATCAATCCTATCCTGTATAATGTGATGAGCGAAAAATATCGGAACGCTTTCAAGGAGATGTGTCGATGCTCTCCTAGCAATCGATCTATTAGCAGAGTTGGCTTGAGCAGCGTGAGAGGTTCTAGTACGGTGTGTGTTGCTGGGCCTAGCAGAGGATCTCAGGTGTTCCGCGCCAGAGGCGTAAATTATCAGCGCAGCATGAAGTGAGCTAAAATTGATGTGCCTTTAGTCAAAAACATCCTTCGAAATCCTGATTTGACTGCTTTATTAATTTATCAATATCACTTTATTCTCAAAAATTCTAACCTGTCGATGTTAGCATAGGTAGCAATTATACCGATGCAATTCGTTGTTTTCTTTTTTCACCGACACAGGTACAGCGCCGCGCGCCGCGAGGAACACGATTCACGTGCAGCAGCTCAATTACAACCAGACGACGGAGACGAGAGAGAAAAACCATGTGACGCTTCTACGGACAATTCGATGGATAAAAATGTAGACGAAATCGTGGTAGAGCCGTTTTTACAGGAGCTAAAGAAATCGTCGTTCCTCGTACACGCGAAAAATGGACGCCTTAGGTACCAAGTGTCCGACAAGGAGGACACATCGTCGAACGAGACAAACATCTGATCATCGGATCGTGAAAGAAAGGTATAACCGGTGGAAGAAATATAGCGAGCTCGTAAAATCGGTCAAGAACCTAACCATGTTTCGAGTGCTTTCAACAAAGGAATTGAGAGAAATACAAGAAGACTATTCCACTTGGTCTCGATGTATTCTATGCGCTCTCTTCGTCACGCTATATTATCCCATTTGAAACGTGATCGTTTCGACCAATAACAAAAATCCGAGTGCCCTGTTTTTATGATTGTGATCCTATTACTCAGATCCGCATTCCTTCTGCTAGCATTCTTTCCAGCTCTGCCAAGTATATACGTTGGAATAAAGAAAAAAACTTTAAATATTAAAAATGCTAATGAATATCGTTAGTTATCGGTTGTCTTTTCCTTTATTGCACCAACCCTAAAACACAATGCCGTATGCGATCTTAGCCGAGGCTAGATCAAATTGTGTCGCCACCTGATGCTTTAATTTATCACCTCGCTGTATTTCTTTCGCCAACCTAACCTATCGGGAAAAAAATGTATGATATTTTTGTGAGCGACGAAGCTTAACAATTTCACGTATTATCGTGATAGTGATGTACACTGTAAACCGTTAAGATACTGGTTTTCCCTTAAAAGCGAAACTGGCCTCTAATCCCTGACTTATCTTGTTAACGTGTCTGGAAGTTTCTGGGCCGCTTGAGACCCGACGGAAAACTCGATATTACGCGTTTGCCAGAAATCGATCGAGGATACTCTTCTATGCTCGAATTTCCCGCGGTGAAATTTGTGATATGATCGAGGTAGTTTGAGCTCCCTTCCGCAGAATCTATTCCCTACAATATTTACAGCATGATGATTGAAATTTTTTTTATTAAAATTGAATTTTCAGCACAAGTAACCATTTGGAGAATCGTTGTTCTCTGACAATAGGAGGGGAACTCTGTGGATTTATTTAACACGATATCGGTGTGATTTCGGTGACACTGTAATTATTTTGTTGAATTTTTGCGCTATCACGTATCAACGATATCCACAAGGGATAAATTCTATCTCGAACGATGAAACGCAACGTTATCGGGTGCATTGGACTATGAATTTATTAAACGTGCAAACATAATTCATTAAATTGTAACAGGTATATTACCATATTAAATGTCGCTTTATATTACGACTAATAGTTTCGAATCCCTCTCGATTCAAATCCCTCCTGCATTTCCATGTAATTCCGCTTTATATTATTGCACGAGAGATATAACGGTGGTGCTCCTTATTCGAGGAGTTTCGTAAATTGATGGAAAATGTCTGTTTATTCTAAGCTCTATATCGAGAATCTGATTATGTTTGTTTCTTATGATACTGCGCTCCCTTAAAAAATTTTCAAACATGGCGAACATGGAAAATCTTCTCGAACGAACTCAGGGAAGAAGATAAAACGAGAGAAACGGAGAAATTTTCATCGGTAGTTTCTCGTTACAGCGTTCTCGATGGAGAATATACGATCAGGAAGGCTGTTCAGTGCGAAGCTCTTGCAACTTTGTTGTTAACCTTTCCAGGATCAGCGAGTCTTATAATGGAATGGCAAGAGAAAGTTTCATCTTGATGAAAATCTTCGGAAAATATTTGACATGCTCCGGGTATAAATATACAACGTCGAGATCAATCTTCTGTAATTGACTATTGGCAAACGAAAGAGAAAGAAAATACTCGTTTTAAAAGTATGGAAAATCTATTCATTCTTAATTTCCAATCGTTTACACCCTTTGTTGAATGAAGTCGATAAACAACCTCTCTCTCTCTCTCGTTACGGACTTGTCGTCAGAGCAATTATATTAGCTGTTGATGAAAATCAAGTTTAACGAGCTTTCTTCATTACTTATTAATAGTTATTAGAAGTATCGATCTTTCCTTATTCCCCCGACGAATTCTCTTTGAGATTGAGTAACTATGTATATTGTTCCACACACTAAATTGTCGAAACTTCCAAGATGTCTTGTAACGAGGTTCGCGATATCTTAAGTTTAAAGGCGATGCTTTCGAACTTAGGCAACTACCTAATTTAGTTTCGTTTTAACAACATGTTCGAGATCGATCTTTATTAGGATTAACGATTTTGCGCTAATTTCAAGCATCAGCAGCTATAATGAAAAATGATCAATCGAGTCGAATTATTTAGGTTAGGATCGTTCAGGAAATTGCTCTAATGTGAAGTTGTCAGACAAACGGGAGCATGGAGCGACATTGTAGCAGTAGACTACGCCTACTTGAACAACGATTCTGTGGCGAGGCATTGTATGAACGTAGTAGTGATTGCCCGGCCTAAGAGTGAGAACTATGCTTCGAAGATAGGCACGTGTCGAAAGAAATAACCCATGCTACGAAACACTTCATGACATACCAACAAATGTCTACCTACGAGCTTATACTCCCACCACTATCGTTGTTCCCCATTCCATTTACAATTGTCGACGTCGTTTGCTCTAACCTCGGCTCTCGGTTCTACTCGAAGCAAAAAAGAGCGTTTTTGCTCTCGAAACGGTTGGCTGAGCGACCCTGACTTAGGTAAAAGTTTCAAATGATCAAGATGTGTTGCTATATCTACCAGTCGTTCCAGTTTCATCAAGATTTCTATCGTGGGTAATCACGTCTTTTATCGTGGCAAGTGTACCATTAGTAGCGTGATTTAAGGCCGTTAAATCAAATCTCAAAGAAGTGACGTTTCTTGACCAAATCGTTCACTTTAATGTTACGATGATAAATTGCAAGTTCTTTAGAGAACTCTATCTTCATCGAAAGGATCTGTTTTAGAAATTGTCGTGAATTATGTTTCTTCTTGAAACATTTTCACGTATTCATCAAACGTTCTACATCTATTTGGTCTTTATACATATCGTAGAACTAAGTACGTAATATTTATTCGTTGCGCGTGCGGTGGTAATACTAAGTTTCTGAACTGGATAATGTCATATCCTGACCTAGCTACTTCTTCGACAAAATCTTTGCACCTACATAAATGGATATTGATCACGCGCTTGTTACAACTTTATAAGAGTCTTCTGTTATTGTCAGATGTGATAAATTGACGGAGGAAATTTAATTTTCGCATTGGAAGAAGTTATGGCTTCTTATTAGTTGCTTTTGAGGTATCCTTAGAAGTGTTTAATACATTTCCATTTCTGTTCGAAAGTTTTACTGCATGTTTGACTATTAATATGGTTTAGTTTAGAAAGTAAGAGAAATTAGGTGATTGTTGCAATTGAAAGCATTGTTGTTGATTCGTAAATGGTTCTGGAAAAACATGTTTTTCTCCCTCGATATATGTCTGCTGTTTCTTCTCTTGAAGCGTTCGAAAATATATTTACATATGCTGTAGCAGACAGCAGTAATTGTTAGCTCGTTTTTAAAATTTCCATGATTTTTTAAGTTATTTTTTAAATGAGATATATTTCAATCAAGTTTTCAGTCTTTATGTCGATAAATTTTTATAGAAAACTTTTGAAAAATACTATCGATTTTTCATTCGACACCGGGTAAAGGTTCCTACTATATCTGCAGTAAATAACTTACCATATGTGGTAACTTATCGACATTTTAATATTATTGATTAAGTTAGGAATGAAATGCTAGTTATTTGTCTGCCAATAGTTGGTTGCAATCATGCAAAGCTTTAACGGCCTGAACGTTCGAACCGTTACAGCCTTATAACTTTTGATTTGAAAATCAATGTACAATAATTTGTGCAAAATAATGTATTGACATGTGGTTTTTCATTTTGCAGTATTTAAACTTAAATACTTGTTCTTTAATTCCCATTAAATCTATGTGATAAGTTTGTTCCAAATTGTATTGTTTGCTTTTGTTTACACTCTTGCCCTTCATGTGTACAAAGGTGTATTTTAAACAGATTGTGAAAATAAAATAAAATATGCACTAAATATTTTTTTAAAACGCTACTGTTTTAATAACTAATGACATTTTTGTCATTTATTTACGGGCATGATGTATGTATAAAATTGCTTGTTTTAAGATTGCTTATTATTACAGTAAGTAAATTTATATATTTTTTCGTAACGCTAAATCTTTTTTTTGTAACGCTGTATTAATCCTTACAGAGAATTAATTATTTTGTTTAATAGAATGCAAAGCAGAAGATAAAAATTTATTGAGCATTGTAATATAGAAATTCATTGTGACAAAAGTATGGAAGAATCTGCTGGTAGTTCACAGAACATTTGTTTAAAATTATCACCATATTCCAATATATCTAATACTCTGTATACAAGTGATGATGGTGATATAATAATAATAAGTGACTCCAGTTCTAAATCAACTTCTAGTAATTCTAAATATGCTTCAAAATCAAAGTCAATATCAAACAAATATCCTGTAAGAAGTAATGAGATTTATATTTTGGATTCTTCAGACAGTGATTCTACAAATAGTAAAAATGAAAAAAGATACTTGGAAACATGGAAGAAGCATAAGAAATTTGATTTTATTAAACACCTACCAGAAAGAAAAGGTCTTGTAAAAAAAAAGAATGTATTATATACAAGTGATGAATCTTCAACTAATAGTAGTGAATACAGTAAAAAATACATTACACATTCTGACAAAACTAGTAACAGTTATATGAGTTCAACTATAAAAAATAATGTTAGAAATATATCAAATGTAAATATTCAATCTGACAGTACTGTAAATAAAAGAAATGTATTATTGGATAATGCTTCTGGTAATAGCAGTACTAGCTCTAAGAGTTTTAAAAACACTGTTCAATCAACTAAAACTTTGACTCCTATTAAAAAGACTGACAATAGTTTGAAGAAAAACTTTTCACGAAAAGATGTTAAAAATATTATGAAAAATATAAAATCTACAAAACTAATATATGAGTCACCAAAACTTCAGAAACAAAATAATGCAGAACAGGATAAAGAGACAGATGAGGATAATATCCACCCAGCTATTTCACCTGAAAATTATTTAAGAACAAACAATATAGTTATTGACGAAACTCAAGTAGATTCTGAAAGTGATGTTATTTCTGACTCTCAAGTAAATGTAACAAATCATTATAAATCTCATGTTAATAAATTTTTGGATACACTAAATGTGGAAAAAGAAGCAGGCACAACATGCCATGAATATGAACTATCAGAGCGAAAAAGGAAGCAGATTTCACAATGGATTATGGCAAATTCACCTGACTCACAAAGTAATAGTTCATTTAGTGTTGTGCCTTCTAGTAATAAAGATGATGTAAGTTCTGGAAACAGTAGCTTAGAAAGATTAGAGATGAATTATGAAACTCCAAATAATAGGGGAAGAATACGTCAACAACCTGTAGATGAAAAGGAAATTACTGATTCAGATTATAATAAAACGCCTCACACTGTTATATCGCGTCAAACTAGAATAGATGAGTATGTCCAGCAATCAAAAAATAATGCTCCTGAACTCTGCACATCAAAAAAAAGTCACACTAGCAATAGTGCACTTTCAACTTCAACAAAAAATCTAGGAACAAATACACCACAAAAAGTAGATATTATGGATTGTCTAGATATATTAGAGAAGTTGTATGGCAAATCTTGGCGTGACAAAGCTGATATATTGTTTCCACAATCTGAACCACGTAAACAAGTGGTTCCTACAAAAAATAGGGCTGTTCAGACTGAAAGGTAAATTATAAATACTATATTATAATTACATTAATACTTATCTAACAATTACAATTAATAAGTCCATCATTACAGAAAAAAAGTAAACAAGAAACAAGAAAGATTGTATATAACGGATTCAGATGATGATTCTAATACATGTAAGTAACTACATTATGAACTATTATACATATTTACTTTAAAAAGATGACACTAATTCTTTTAAATATTATTTAGCTTTAAAGAATCCGAAATTACAAACTCCATCAATAAAGAAAAGTGTTAGAAAAAAAACTAAACCAAGAGATAGTTTTATTAATGATGTATCATCATCAGAAAGTGGGCTTGAAAGTTTGTACTACACTGCATTGACAAATCCAAGATCATCAACAACTAGCACACAGTCAAAACCAAAAATTCCACCAATTACACAAAAGTAATAAATATATGTTTAAAATAATGAAAATCATAAAAGACTTTTTAATAATCGTTACAATCTGTTCTTTAGAGTTATTGCAATATGTGACACAGACAGTGAAGATGAAAATAATAAAAATACGAACAATCAAATACCTGGCATAAGAAGAAGAAAATTGTCATTTAGTAATGATGAAAGCAATGATTCTGGTACCAGTGAATTTGATCCTGGTGATCATGTACCACCAAAATCTATAGTTAGAAAAGGTAATAATTGAGTTTTTCTAGAACTTCTACCGTGAGAAGCTATAAATTTCTTATTTATATTGGAAATCATTTGTAATTTATGAGGAGCACTGCTCTTGGCTTGATACTTTCGCACGCCTCTGTATATAACATGTTAATCATAAAGAATATGTTTCTGTAGATACCATAAGAACTCCGCGGCAAACGTTTAAATTAAATGCTCCAAGTAAATCTAACAATCGAAAACATGAAAAATTTAACAGCTTCTTGGCATCTTTGTCTGAAAGTGTTCCCATTGATAGTGCACATCCAGATGCTAAGAAATATAGATTGAATTTTAAAAATAATAAAGACGATTTATGTAGTAGCTTATATAAGCTATACAATGAAAAGGTATTTGATAACGAACTGCCTAAAGATCTGTTAATAGAGTGGAATATTCGTATGAGAGGAACTGCTGGTTATTGCTACAATAAGAAATCAGTGAAAACACTTGGTGGTATTGTAAAATCTTCACGAATAGTCTTAGCAACAAAGGTATGCTTATAATATAGTTTTTAGAAATAATGTGTAAGACATAAATTAAATAAATTTTCATAAATAGATTTTAGACACTCCAGACAGACTTAGAGATACTTTAATTCATGAAATGTGCCATGCAGCTGCATGGTTAATAAATAATGTTTCTGATGGACATGGTCCATTTTGGACAGGATGGTATATTGCAATAACTTTATATACTACTTTTGTATTTATTAAAAGTTAATTTAATAAATCATATTTTAGGGCCAATAAAGCTATGAAAACATTTCCTGAGCTACCGCCAATAAGAAGGTGTCATGATTACAAAATTAAGACGAAATTTACGTATAAATGTGTAGGTTGTGGATACAGGTAAAGTGCTTTATAATAATTTAATTATAATAAATAATAAATCATTAAAAATTTCTGCGTAAATAATATTAAATTTTGTTTCAGCATTGGTAGACATTCCAAATCTTTGGATATTGAAAGAAAACGATGTGGCCATTGCTACGGAAAATTCGAGTTATTAGTAAATAAGACAACGAAGTCTGGAACTATCCAAGTACAGACACCGAAGAGAGAACCTACGGCGTTCGCACTTTACATAAAAGAAAACTATAACTCTGTAAAGAAAGAGCGTAACGCGAAACATGGTGAAATAATGAAGATTCTAGGTCAGCAATTTTCAACAATTAAAATTGTAAAGGGGCAAGAAAATTTGGAAAATAATCCGGATACTCCCTGTTAAATAAGCGATACAGATTATATTCAGCATTGTTTTTAATGCTTCCCATTTTATTTATAGACGACACATTTTTTATAACTTGACCATTCTTATTTTACGTGGTCATTATACGACTTATATAATTGACATGATTTTACCATTGCAGGCATTGGAATATGAATTGTGAAATGAAATGTTCGTTGTAGATGAAATAGGTTATTATATTTGTATAGACGTATATTTGTTATATAGATAGACTGTACAGACGTGATAACATTTTGCAAAATTTGTTATCGAAATTTCATAATAAATGATATGCACGAATTAAATCGCCATACCTTCATCTTCATTAATAGAGAAGAACTACCACGTATTATTAAGGAACGAATTAAAACCGTTTGTATGTCAATCAAACTCACGAGTCATTATCGTAACGTTGATGCGCAACATAATGTTAAACGGATTTATTATTTTTATAATCTCCAATAATTTGTTGAAACAGTTGAACTGATTTTCATGTAGAATATCGCAATCCTTTGATGGAAATGTCGCTTAAGATTATTTGCATTGTCAGACGCATGCGTTAAATTCATGGTGTGGCGGCGGCATCAACAGCGCACTCTAAAAACAGTCGAGCCGAAGATGGCGACGTGCGAGTGGCGGTCTCGGTGCGGTGTTTAAGAGAAAGGACCATGTTGTTGCCGCAGTGTTCGCAGTGTTTCCGTGATCCGCGTTGAGTTCGGTGCAAATGTAGGAATGTCAGAGGCTAAACGGGTACCTTTGCAGACCTTGGAGTTTCCGGAGTCCTTGGGCTACGCCACGAAGAAGGAGAAAAAAGGGGAAAAGGGCAAACAGCTCGCGCCCTCCTTCCGCTTCACACTTACCCTGCCAGAGTCGAACGAGAAGGCATGTCCTGAGTTCAACTATGCACAGCTCCTCAAAGCAGCCGAGGTCAGTTCTTCCTTTCACTCGTTAATCTACCGAAGGGAAAACAAAACCTACGATGTCTATCCATACGGTCACGTTTATCAAAACATTTTGTTTCCTCCAAACACCGGCTATGATTTCATTTCACGTACGCACTTTGACAAGAAACTGCAAAAATGCCAATGGAATCGCCCATTTTCCAACTACATGAAACGAGGAGAACTTGCATGCGTTGCTCGAGCGAATTGTCATGTCGCGGTTACCGCGTGAGATCCGACTCTCTCGCGACGTGTATGCTGTCCTCGTTCGCATATATTTTAGCCAAAGATACGTTAATATTATATAGAAACTGGTAGAAAAAGGTGTGATCAATTCGAAGCCATCGAATAGAAACGTCACAACGTATTGCCGGTGTATGTCCGTGTCAACGTATGCTTACACGATACACCGTCTGTTCGGAGTATCGTTTCAAACTTGATTGTGAACGAACATTTAACATTCGTTTTCATGACAATCATTATTCCGTACATAAAAAATACCATCGAATTACTAGAATACGACCGTACCATCCGGTATTGCGAATTCATTAAAACGACATTCACCGTAGTTGTGTACGTGTCTATTTCGTTTTATCTAATGACGATACTTTCATTAACACTTTTTTTTTTCTGATACGTACATAAGCAACAGCTTAATCTGTGTCTTATCTCGATCATCTTATGCATGTACGTGGAATATATCCTTATTAGTTTTGTGATCGATGCACCGAGAGGGAACTCGTGACCGTCGACACGTTGCACCTCGGTTTAAGCTAGACGAACCTTGTCAATTTATAACATTTTTCGACTACATTATTTCTTTTATTACATTTTATATTTTTATCGCCCGTACAATCTTATTTTTAACATCCGTGTAACTTTTTCATTGCGTTACGATATAAAAAATTTATATTGTTTAAAATGAATTAAATGTTAATTTTTGTTTTGTTTAAATCCAATACAATATGTTACTGTAAAATAACCGTTATTTTTATTCAAATTTTTTATCAGTTTATTATTTTTATCATGTTTGTATTGGAGTAAGAGTTTTAAAGATTTTCATCT